ATGGTGGTGGTGATTGGCAGGAACCTTTGTCAGATTCTGGACCTCCAAATGATGATGGTGAAAATAATCAGGGAGCTCCTACATCAAGTGCAAATGGACTCAAATCTCCAAAAAGCAAGAGGCCTGTTCAGAGGCTCATGACAAGCCATTTAATGGAAACTTCCTCCAGGCATTTGGGAAATGTAGATTCACCCAGACAAGACAGACAATTTATCTGTGGTATTTGCGGAAAACGATTTACACAAAAACAAAATCTTAAGACACATATCCGAATTCACACTGGTGAAAAACCATTTCATTGTGATTTTTGTGGAAAGCGTTTTCGACATCTCTATAGTTTCAAGGCGCACATCAGAATCCACACAGGAGAGAAACCGTTTGTATGTGACATCTGTGGTGAAAGGTTTACACAACAGCAAAATATCAAGAGGCACATCAGGGTTCACACAGGTGAGAAACCATTCGGTTGTGGGGTTTGCACAAAAAGATTTACACAACAGGTGGACCTGAAGAGACATATGAGAGTTCACACAAGAGAAAAACCATTTGGTTGTGATCTTTGCAGTAAAAGATATAACCGGAAAACACAATTAAGTGCACACATGAGAGTTCACACAGGAGAAAAACAGTTTGCTTGCGACATTTGTGGTAAAAGGTTTAACCGGATGGCGCTTGTTAAAGCACACACAAGGGTTCACACAGGAGAGAAACCATATGGCTGTGATATTTGTGGCAAAAGATTTAACAGGAAATCACATCTCAAAGCCCACACAAGAGGCCACACAGGAGAAAAACCACATGGTTGCGATGTCTGTGGCAAAAACTTTGTACATCAGCGCGATCTCAAGATCCACATCAGAGTTCACACCGGAGAGAAACAGTTTAGCTGCACTGTATGTGGGAAGAGATTCACCCATCAGGGAACTCTGACGAGACACATGAGAGTCCACACTGGAGAGAAGCCATTTAGCTGTGGTGTTTGTGGTAAAACGTTTACTCAGAAGGGAAATCTAAACAGACACGTGAAAACCCACACGGAGTAACAGCTTTGAAGGTTCTGTGAATGCACTTACCTGCTAATGAATAAGTTGGATGGATGTTTTTTGTTTGTTTGGTCATTAATTATGTCTGTTCATGCTATTGGGTGCTTTGAAGGATTCCCTGTACTGTATGAAAAAAATAGAGACTATGGCTGGTGACATTTATAGTAGGGGTGGTACCATGTGCTCAAAGTGATGCAAGCTATATTGTAATTGGGAAATATATTACTTGAATTCCAGATAGCATTTATTTATACATTTTCTATATCCAAGGTACATAACCATGTTTAGTCATAATATTTTTAATAATAATCTATGCTTGAGCATTTTGTTTTTCTGTATAAACCAGAACTCGGTGGGTGGGTGGGTGTGCACCAAAATAAGTTTGGATCAGCATACCACAGTCAAACAGCAGCTATGTGGTGTTGGATAACACAGAACCAGATGGACACATCTACTCCTGATTGCTTTTCTGGTATGGAGTATATCAACTAATGTTATTTAGGTTTTAATTTTGCATTTAATTTCAACTCCTTATTGTATTTAGATTTTGTATTTAATCACTTTTTTTGGTTGCTCTAACAGTAACTTGCCAACTTCTTGATTAATAAAATATTTATTCTTTTTATTCTTCCTCTTGAGCTTTTTACTTGAAGCATGATGTCATCAATTATCATCATTTTTCACAATGCTTATAACCTGTGGCATTGTTGGATATAACTGTTATGAAGGACAGAAACAGGATCTTGGGTTGAAGATGATGTTGAATTGCAATGCAAAAAATGGAAGCTTATGACACACAGTAGATAGTACTGTAAACACTGGAGGTAAGCATTGCAGAATATTAACCCATTTATTGCTTGGTTACATGATTAATTATTGCATTTAATTGGTTGGCAACCATCTGGCAATCACAAGGGGAGAAATGTGTATTTCCCAAACAAGTTTGTGTGGAAGATGTTATCTTGTCTTCAAACTCTTACCAGTTACTCTCAGAGCAGCTTCAAAAGGTGCAGCACAGACTGGAAACAAAACATTTGTTTTCAGATTAAAAGTTGTGCCTCAACCTTGTAGCAATGACATTTTAAAAGCCACAATTTTTGTGGATCTGCGCTCGACGGTGCAACCTAGGCGGAGTAGTCGAACGCAGATCCACTGAGTGCTCAACACAGACAGCATCGTCAGAAGAAAAGTTGATAAAATAAATTAAAAATTTTGTATTGTTCGATACATATGCGTACCGAACCGAAAGCACTGTATCGAACGGTTCAATATCGATATGAGTATTGTTGCATCCCTAATAAAAATATATACATACATACATACATAAGTGAGAAGCAGGATTATAAATTCAGTTCTGGATTTAACAGGGAACCAATAAAGGGAAGCCAATATGCTCCCTCTTTCTAGTCCCTGTCAGGACTCTTGCTGCAACATTTTGGATCAACTGAAGGCTTTTCAGGGAGTTTTAGGACATCCTAATGACAACAAATTACACTAGTCGAGCCTAGAATAAATGGTTTAGCTACTTCAGCACCAGTCTGAGACTGTATGTTTCTAATTTTAGAGATGTTGCACAAACGGAAGAAAGCAGTGTTGGTGTGTGTTATCTGGCTTCATGGATAGATAAAGTTGCGTGTCATCTGTGTAGCAGTGAAAATGTATGCTTTGCCTTCTAATGTTACTACCTAGCTTAAGCATGTATAATGTAAACAGAATCTGTCCTAGCACTGAACCCTGTGGAATTCCATAATTAACCTTAATTAAAGGACTGTTAGGATTAAAATGATTAAATAAAGCTGTTTTTATGATTTCCTATAAACACACTGCGATGTGCTCATTAAAGTGTTGGTGCTCCATGTTTTGAAGGTCAGAAGCTTCATTCAGCGCCATGACTAGGGATGGGTATCGAAAACCGGTTCTTGTTGAGAACCGGTTCCCACTGTTTCAATTCCTTGGAATTGTTTGCCATTTTTGCAAACGATTCCC